ACTGTTGGCCTGCAGGCTAATGCTCCAATCAACTGAGCCATACCAGCTAGGGTAGGAGAAAGTTTTTCTTAAGTCATGAGTCTATAATTAAATCCAAGTACTATGCGGCAGAGGGTGGTCAATAAGCACATGGACCTCTTATAATCTTAGAAATTTTCTATGGGGTAGTTCAAGGATTGATATGTATAAGAGGTCAGGGAGGAGGTAGAGGTGGTAGATGAGATTACATAAATCTGTAATTGTATTTCATCTTCTTTGGGGATGCAAATTTGCAGCATTAACAATATTAATAATCATCATAGCTAGCAGAAACTAGCAACATAACACAGTGCTGAAGAATGTGGGCTCTGGAGTCAGACTGCTTCGATTTGAACTCTGACTTCTTTACTTTCTCATTTCATGATCTTAAGCAAGTTGTCCAACTGCTTGGTACCTTTGTTTTTCCATATGCAAAATGGAAATGATAATTGTACCTACCTCATAAAGTAGTAAATACTCAAAAAATAAAAATAGCTAATATTTATCAAGTGCTTATTATATGCCAGACACTGTCCTAAGTGCTTTGCATGCATTCTCCTTTAATGTTTATACTGATATCAAATGACATGTATTATTACTAAAGATTTTAGAGATGAGATTGCTGAGGAATGAACATACACATGAGCTTTGAAGTAAAATGGACTGTACTTGGAGCTGGTCTTTTTTGTTTTTGTTTTGTGTGTGTGTGTTTGTTTTAGAGAGAGAGAGGAAGGGAGAGAGAAAAGAGACACATCAATTTGTTGTCCCACTTATTTATGTATTCTTTTTTTTTTTAAGATTTTATTTATCTATTTTTAGAGAGGGGAGGGAGGGAGAGAGAGAGAGAGAGAGAGAGAGAGAGAGAGAGAGAGAGAGAGAGAGAGAGAGAGAGAGAGAAACATCAATGTGAGGTTGCTGGGGGTCATGGCCTGCAACCCAGGAATGTACCCTGGCTGGGAATCAAACCTGGGACACTTTGGTTCCCAGCCTGCGCTCAATCCACTGAGCTACACCAGCCAGGGCTTATTTATGTATTCTTTTGTTGATTCCTGTATGTGCCCTGACTGGGGATTGAACCTGAAACCTTGGCATATTGGGACTATGCTCCAACCAACTGAGCTATCCTGCCAGGTGAAGCTGGTCTCTTATGTTTACTTTTAATGTGGCCATTGACAGGTTTTCACACCTCTCAGACTCTATTTCTTCATCTATAGAAAGGCGTTGATGCCACTCACAAGCTTGGGAAGGAAGGAGACTTCAGGAGATGATGGATATAAAATCCTAGGTGTCTCTGCTTATTATTACATTTTCATAAATGCCCACTATGTTCTAAATAGTTTATAGTCTTTCCCATGTTCATACTATTCTGTGAGGTCAGTATTATTGCAACCCCCTTTTTCACAGTACAAAAACACAAGGTTTTGGTGAACTCCTTGTCATCCCTGCAGCAATAGAATAGCAGGGGGTGGATGCAGTCTCTCTTGTATCAGACACTGCAGCATTCCTGGGTCTTGGGTGCAGGTGAGCTATGGAAGGTAACTGGGCCATTGTATCTGGAGGATGAGTTACAACCTATGTGGAAAGATTAGAAAAACTGAGAGTGATGAAGGTGGAGGCCTTGCTGGATTGATCTGAGGACTACTCCTTTCAACTGGTGACCTTACTCTGGTCTCAAACCTCTGCATCTGCTTTATAGGGACACAAGGTTAGAGAAAGGGGAGAGAAAAACTGGCCTTCAAATAATCATGATAGCAAAGGATTTAAGAGCCACGAAGGGCCAGAATCACCATTTCTTATATGAAGCAATTAAGCAAATAGCCCTTGTCTTAGGCCAGCTTGTATTTAAATCCCAGATCTGCCACTTAGCTTCCAGACCTTGGGAAAGTTACTTGGACTCCATGAACCCTAATTTTCTTATCATAAAATGGAGACATTTCACAAGGTTATTGTATTGAGTAAACAATATATTCAGACAGCATTTATAAAAGACAAATATGTTAATTTCTGCTTCTTACTATTATTTTGTGAGAAAATAAACTAAGGACCTGGAAGAAGTGTCAGAAAGCAAAGGACATTTAAAAGAGTTTAAAAAAAGGTACAGAAAGTGGACTTAACTCCAGCATGGTGACATAGGAATCTCTAACAACCATGGAGGCAGAGAATGTCCAAGTGGCCAGCTGCCGGAGAAGGTATTTATTCAGGTGGGATTGTGACATGTATTTATCATTTCAGAAGCTTTGTACAAAATGCTGTATGCTATGTGGAACGACAGTCAGTGCTCCTGGGTGGGCCCCAAGCTGTTATTTGTGTGTGGACTAAGTTGTGCCCAGAGAAAAAGCCTTTCTATTTGAGCTCTGGCCTATCCAATAGTCCATGTCTTGACTGACGGTTTGGGAAAAGTTTCATAAGCTGTCTGCTAGCACATGGTCTTGAGAATCAGTACTGAGCTGAGATCAGGATCATTCACTTACCAGATACTTGGCTTGTAGCACATCATTCAACCTGAGACTCAGCTCCTTATTGTGAAGAGTGTAGGTAAGTGATCATTCCTACTCCGAATCTGGCGCATGGTCATTAAGTGATGGAAGCTATTCTTATCATCAGTGATCATCATCGGACCCTGAGTGGTAGAATTGTACACATGCATATTAGAACAAACAAGCACATTTCTTTAGAGTATTCCTGGTTTATGTAAGTTTTCTTTGCTATATGTCATTTTATAGTGCAGTGCTTGACACATAATAGAAAGTCAGTTTAGTTAGGTAGTGCTTGCAAAACAATCAAATCATATGTTCATTTCTTGAACAGACATAAAGTTGAATGAAGGAAGGCAGATAGGTAAGAGTATATCCTACATGATTCTAACAGGCAAAATTAACCTGTGGTATTAGAAGTGAGGATGGTGGTTATCACTGAGAAGATGGGGTAATGGGAAGGAGTCACCGCAAGATCCTGGGGGCTGAAAATATTTTGTTTCTTGATCATGGGTGTGTTTGCTTGAAGAAATTTATCAAGCTTTACACTTACAATATGTAAGCTTTTCTATGTATATTTTATATTTAAACAAAAAAGATGTTTTAAGAATTACCAAATGTGGTAAATTTGGTGAGTAGAAAAATGTCTTATTATGAATAGTGCTTATACTGCTTAGGAGAGAGGTAACTGAGTAGGTTAGAAATGTAGGATGGGCAAGGTCCTTCCCCTTATGGATCTGGTATAACGATCTCACTTAGACCTGCTCCTGCGGCATCAGGGACTGGTGAGAGTCATTAAACCAAGCTGTGGTAGGAGACAGCTTCCTGAAACAAATCTGATCACTGCATTTTCTCCCTATGCATGTGTTCATTTAAATGCCCACCCTTGTGTTTTCTTATGTATTCTGATCATGATTCTAATGAAAATTTGGCAATGGATTAGTATACATAAAGAGGGACAAAATGACTAAAATGGGGCAGTTAGGTGGCTGTGAACAATATTTAGGGAAATAATGATGATTTTGGCTGGGTTAGCTTCACTGGAATCTGTGAGGAGGGGATATTTCAAATACAGTTACATTGGGGAATATATTACAGAGTGAAAAAAGACACTAGGTTTTTGTGCCTTTTTTTCTGGAGATTTCATGGATAACAAGAAAAGGTGCAAAACCTGACAGGTATTGGAAGGTGAACTTTGGGGAGAAAATAGGAGAATTACAGTTTGTGGTCCTGCAGGCCATTCAATTTGCAATGCAGATCCTTAGTAGACAAATGGAGATGCAGTCCTGTTGCTGAAGAGTGAACTTGGGGAGACTGTGCAGCCTAACTCTGCCATGTGAAGTTATGGAGGGAGATGAGCTTACACACTACATCTGGGCTCCTTGCTTAACATTATTAAACCTGGGCTTTTGGATCTCATGCTTTTTTGCCTGACTCTTCAGGTGGTTTCCTCCAGATGTGTTAACCTCGCCCTTCTGCCCATAACTGAGGAGAACTTCAAAATACTTGGGGCTATCACAACATCTTTTATGGTAAGAGGGATGAAAAGGAGACATTTAAGACAAAAGTGCTTCCAAACTGAGTCTATGCCCACAGGACTGTCTCAAAGGCAGAATCAGAGGAAAATGTGAAAGCATTAAGCAGCCAATAAGATTGAGGTGGGGTTAGGGAAGAATTTAATAAAAATCAGTGCAAGGGAGAATGGGAAGGGTTTACAGGAGCAAATATAAAGGACACATAGACAAAAACTAAGGGGGGTGGAAATGGGAGGGAGGTGGGGAAAAATCAGTGCATCTGGGTTTATCAGACTTAGCTTTGAAGAACTCTTGAATACTTTTTCTAAGCCAACATATCCTCACAAGAGAGAAACTTTCACCATTGAACACATTCAAAGAGCTTGTTTTCGGCCCCAAAATGTTCAGAAAATAAATAAAGAAAACATCAGTTGCATAACAACACCAAAGTGAAAGCCAACCAGCCTCCACAAAGGATAGTTTGAAAATGCATCATTTGTTTGAGTGTGCCTTTCTGGTGTATTTGTTAACATGTAAGTCAGACTGTGGGAAATCTGCCTCTAAGAATAAATAGAAATGGAATCTATACTGCTTGCTCCTAATAGCATGCTAAATTTTAACAGAAAATTATCCTCCTTTTTTTTTCATTATTTCATCTGAGGAGACACTTTGAAGATGAGTTTTTGGGTATTGCTTAAATGAAAAAAAAGGGTTGTTTAGGACAATAAGAAGACAGGTACTGAGAAGCTGATGCAATAAGCAGAGATCAAGTCATTAAATTGTTTCAATGTCACTTAATCAAAGAGAATATTAAATTAGTCAGGAAATGGAGGGGAATGAAACTCCTAAAGGAAACGAGGTTTCCGTCATGGCCTAAGAAAGAGTTATGGGGAAGCTCTTCCTTTGCAGCCCACACTTAGGGACTTTACCAGTGATGATCAAATGAATGAATGCCTCTTACTTGTAGGGTGGACAACACCTTCCTGGAATCACTATGTTCTCTTGCAACACCAGCACTTTGGGTCATTCTACCTTCCTTCTCACTGGCTTTCCAGGCCTGGAAGCTTCTCATCATTGGGTTTCCATCCCTATCAACCTCATCTGTGTGTTTTCCATCGTGGGTAACAGTATCATCCTTTTCCTGATACGTACAGACCCAGCCTTACATGAACCCATGTACATCTTCCTATCCATGCTGGCAGCCTCTGACCTGGGCCTCTGTGCCTGCACCTTCCCAACTATGGTGCGACTCTTCTGGCTGGGTGCTCGTGAGCTGCCCTTTGATCTCTGTGCAGCACAGATGTTCTTCATCCATGCCTTTACCTATGTGGAGTCTGGTGTGCTGCTGGCCATGGCCTTTGATCGCTTTGTTGCCATCCGGGACCCTCTGCACTATGGCACAATTCTTACCCACTCGGCCATGGCCAAAGTGGGAGCTGCCATCTTGGTGAGGGCTGTTCTGCTCAACCTCCCAGGACCCATCCTTCTGCGGCGTCTGCTCTTTCCCCAGATCAGTGTACTTTCTCACTGCTACTGCCTGCACTGTGATCTTGTGGGACTTGCCTGCTCAGACACAAAGATTAATAGCTTGTTTGGCCTCGTCTCCATCCTCCTCTCATTGGGCCTTGACTCCTCCCTCATTGTGCTCTCCTATGCTCTGATCCTGAGGACAGTGCTGGGCATCGCATCAGCTGGGGAGCGGCTCAAGGCCCTCAACACGTGTGTTTCACACCTGTGCATTGTTCTCATCTTTTATTTGCCCAAACTGGGGCTATCTGTGTTGCACCGAGTAGAGAAGCACAGCTACCCTGCTCTGGCAGTGCTCATGGCCAACCTGCACTTTTTGGTCCCACCCTTCATGAACCCCATCGTTTATTGCGTCAAGTCTAAACAGATCCGTCAGGGCCTCCTGAAGCGTTTCCAGGAGAAAAGGGTTGATGTTCCCTAGAACAGCGGAAGAGCCTAGAGACACATGACCCTGTGGGTCAATCCAGGCCTTGGGGTGAGGGAGAATTAGTTATGAACAGTTAATTTTGGGAAGTTTAAATGATTTTTTTTGTTTTTAAAATGATTAATGTTTTTAAATAATCCAGCTCTGTTGTGCCCTTTGTGTGGGTGGCACTATCAGATCCTATAATTATGTTTTTGGGGACTGAGACCACTGGAAAGTATATCAAAGTATCGCCTTGATAATCTTCTTATCACTCTATCTGATTAGAGTTGAACTATTTCAGACTCATATATATTGTAATTTCTCCTTGCCAAGGGGACTTAATCACACTAACTGGTAGGATGTGTGTACGTATCTTTTTGTGAAGGTACCTCTCTCTGGCCCCCACCCCTGAATTTCTCCCCCCATTTTATTTCTAAGCCTAAGAAAGAACTATATTTGTATTATATATAATTAAGAATATTATGTGTAAATAGGCTATATTCACCTTAACATTGGCTGTATTTTTCCAAATTTAATATAAACCAGCTCACATACCAAGAAGCAGAAGAGGAGAGTGGGTGGTTGGAAACTCACAGAGTCACACAGTATGTGCAGAATTTATCTAGCATTTATTTGAAGTTCAGGGAGTGGTAGTTTTCTCCTGGTTCTCTTCATGTGTGCCTTTATTTGTTCTTTTTTCTTTCTTTCAGTTAGAGTTTATATTCAATAGTATTTTTGTATTAGTTTCAGGTTTACAGCATGGTGGTTAGACAATCATACACTTTACAAAGTGTTCCCCCTGATAGTTCCAGTACCCACCTGGCATCATACATAGTTATTGTAATATTACTGACTATATTCCTTGTGCTGTACTTTATATCCTTTGCTACTTTGTAACTGCTAATCTACTTCTTAACCCCTTCACTTTTTTCACCTGGTCCCCCAACCTGCTTCCCTGTGTCTCTATTTTGAGCTAGAGAGAAAGTTTGATACTGCCAAGTCTAGGAAAACTGTTCAGTTTAACTTCTGGACAAAGCTGGTTTCTCAAGCATAAGTGGTAAGGGTGGAAGAGCCATTCACTTCCAACACAGGTTACCTGCTAGGTTGTAAGCTCCATGAGGACCAGGATTCAGGAACTATTTTGTTCACTGCTATATCCCCAGCTCCAAGAATGACACCTACCATAAACTAGGTGCTCAACATATATTTTTAAATAAATGAGTAGAGAAGATGAAGGGGGAAAAATTCTTGACAGCTGATGCCCAGGGAGGGAGAGGCCTGGGAGATCTGAGTGTTTGAGGTCTGTGGGGATAGTGGGCAGTTGGTAAACTTCAGTGGAATGAGGTGTGGTTGGATCAGAGATTTTGGTGACAAGGTGTGATTTATATGGTCAAGAAGACTATTTCTAAGGGTTCAGCTCAGAGAGGAACTAAGTTTTTTTTGTCAATTGTTTTCCAAAGCTACTTCCAAATTTCTAGGGGAAATTTTACCCAGAAACTGAAGGGTGTCTTACTTCATCAATAGCATTGCCCTTGGCCTGCTCAATCCTAAAAAACCATAACATTTCTTGAAGAATTGGAATAGGGATATTCCTGGTAATATCCCTAATAGGTTGTTTTCCCTGTTAGATTTATTTACATTACCCACTGTAGCATGGATCCCAATAACTCAGGACCCCATGTCTTAGTAACTAGAAAGAGGCCATTGCCAACTCTGTGGGCCTGAAGCTCACAGATCCTGCCCATGGAGCCCAGGAAACAAGGTCAACAGATGATGAGTTCAGAGTTACTATTTTAGAATAGTAGGTCTAATAGTAGCCAAACGAAAGTTTCAGTAAATCTGATTTGACCAGCCACTTTGAAGAGGAGGTTATTAGAAATGACAGCATGTGCTATTTGACGTTTCCGCCTCAGGACAATAAAGCTTGGACTGAAACAATGACTGTCTTATCCAGGTCCCTCCATCCACTTCATGCATCACCCCAGTAATAAAAATATTCTGATCAGGGAGCCAGCATGTACATCTCGCTGAGGGACATGATGATATTCAGGACCACAAGTAGTCTTGGGCAGCTAAAAACAAACAAACAAACAAACAAACAAACAAACTGCATATAAGCCCTGAGGCAGGCAATTCTTCTTTAGAGGGTTAGCAGATAAGCTTGGATATTAGACACCCAGTACATGTTTGTGGGGGTCCTTTGGCTTTGTTGTTTTTCCCTTTTCTCAAGAGCAGCTCTGAACTTGGAGCCTTCTCCCACCTATAACCCCCACCACCTTATTGTTAGTCGTTCCATAGCTACACTGATGTCAAGAAGTCAAGGGGAAAGGATCCAGGGTCTGTGTTTCTACAACTTTACCTTCAGGGTGCAGGCACCTCAGCACTTCCCATAATGCCTTTCTCTGCTCCACAGACCCAGTAACTAGTACCTGAGCCTAACTCAAGGGAGAGTCCTGAGATGGTCTCCAAAAAGCTTTGCTACCAGTTCAACCAGTTAAAAGATGATCAGGGTATGATATCCAGTGGCATTTAGATTTTTTAAAAGTCATGGACATGAATCTAAAGCTCCTTCTCTTAATCTTTAGGTTAATCAGATTGTCACCGACTCATGTAGAAAAGCTGAGTTAAGCAAAATCTGACCTCTGGCCTATACCAGCTGCATGACCTTAAATTAGTTATTTCATCTTTTCTGAACCTCCATTTCCTCAACTTTATAAAGTGGGAACAATACCTACCTTGCAGAGATGTTGTAAAGATTCAGCTACATAATGAACATAGAGCACTGAATCCAGCAGCAGAGAACAAGTTTCAGGTGTGTTTGGGTGGTTATTACATGAATCCTGTCTTCCTTATTCACTGCAGACACCATGTAGGCACTGCTTTTGCTGACTTGTTTAACCTTAGCACTTTGCACATGGCCTTTATATATAAAAGTAAATTAATGAATAAAGGAAAGACTAAACTCCTGGCAAATGGTAACTGCAATTAATTGTATAATTTTTATTGAGCTCAACAGATGAGAGCATTTATTATTATTATTATTATGTATTAGGTAGCTTTGCATTAGGTATTAATATCAGGTAGCTCTGATTCTTGGAGGGAAATGGCAAATGCTGGTTGGTTTGTTGCAAATGGAGAATATTTGTGCAAGATCACACTGCTCAATAATCCTTGGGCTTATTAATTCATAATTAACCTCTGTAGGTCTCTAGGTTCTAAAGGGGTGGTCTAAATCTGATATAAAAGATGTACGAGTATAGTCCTCTGTTAACTGGAGCACATGCTCTAAATCTGTGATACCCTAGAGCTGGATGGGGTCCTTAGTGACTGGACAATGAGTGGTTGACTAATCTCATACAGTTTTATGTCAAGTAAAAAGTTTGTGCAGATTCTTATGCTAGTCCTGACTGCTAGCTTTCAAAAAATTGGTAGGGGGTGGTTTTAGATAAGAGGAGGAGGAGGAGATGGAGGATGGAGAAAAGGCTTATAGAAACCAGAATGTATGTCTCAAATTCTTCAAAGCCAAGTCTTCCCAAGCAGATTAATGTACATTGCACTTGGACTGGCCATGGGCAAATAGTTTCCTACTAACCCTCTGTAAAGAGCTATTTTTTGCCTTTTATAGAGGGGAGAAGTCTACAGAGATTGACTTAATGTGAAATTGCTATGAATTTACTCAGAGTAATGTAAAATTATGATTAATGCAAAATTATCCATGTTGTAAATTTTTGTAGATTAGAGCAACATAAGGAAAATGGCCATTTAAGAGATATCCTCCCGAATTCTTTCCATATCCTCCCATGGGCAGTGTAAGAGGATAATTTGAGGGAGATAGGAGAGACATGGAGGTCAATGGCATATCTGAAAAAGGAAAGAGCGTGAAAGGGAGAGAGGACTCGAAAAGAAGAGCATTGACTACCTTCCTGGACCTCACTATCATGTAGTGGGCCTTGCTGGGGAGTTGTCTTGCTTTTATCCTTGTATTAAGAAATGCTGCTAGTTTCTGTTGTTTTGTTCTGTTTTTAGAACTGTGCCAAGAAAAAGCAGCAATTTTCAAACATCAGAAATGTAGTGTAGTTTTCAAATTCCAGTCTGATTCCAAGTACTCCTCAAACCTTGATGTATAAAGACTTAAAAGGCTCTTGAGTGAATGAATAAATAAACAATGTTTCTATTATGACTAGAGCACTGAGAGTTTATATTTTCTTGTGATCAAGTATTTGTAATATGGTTAGATCCACATTCTGAGGTTGCTTGAGTCTATATGAGGCAGAAGCCCACATTTAGTGGCAGATTTCTTGATTTTGTCTTTTAAGAAAACATCTCACCAAGGGTAGACTAAGTTTCTGTGTTTCTAAAACTGACAACTCTGTCAGGCAGGACCTGTAAAGATGTAAATATTAATATTCATACATTTATTCTGATGTCAATACTTAGCACTTGATGAGTGAGCCATTCCCATGCATAAGATAATGAAAGGAATTCCTGCAGCATTAATAGCTCTCACCTTTCAGTTATTTATTATTTTTCTTTCTTCCTCAGGATAGTTTTTAAAATTGATCCCTTATTTTAAAAAAATCATGAGGTATGATTGACACACAAAAAGCTGTACATACTTAATGTATACAACTTGATGACTTTGGAGATAAGAGCTACTCTATCACATAGTGCCTGTAGTAAAAAATATTGTATTTTATAATAAACATTTTGCTAAGATGCAGACCTAACATTGTGTCCTTCTCTCTCTCTCTCTCTTACACATGCACACACACACACACACACACAAATACTAAAAAGGTAGGAGGAAACTTTTGTAGGTGGTGACTATAGTTTTACAGGTCCCTTTTTTGTTGGTATTGTCTACTTGACATTTTTTCAGAAAAGGTGAACCCTCTTCTGAAAGTACATTTCAGTGAAAGTAGATTTGCAGCAATGCATACTTGAGCTTTTGTGTCTAGAGGGCACTGCTTTGGTCATCTTTGCCTCTCATTAGTGTAACACACACAATTATACCT